TAGTTTCAGTGCCAGCCAGATACTTCATATGTTCTCCTTTAACATTTGTTTTTGTTGTTGCAGTGGGTGAATTGTGAGACATGAAAGAGGAAAATTTTTAGGATACAAATGGGCGAAACATAGATACAGAAGGATGGGTTTAGAATGGTAGCAGTCATGAAAGTAATGAAGTCATTTGGGAATGAGGGCAAAAAGAAAAGAAATGTGAGTACTGAAAACTGGAAAAGGTCCATTTTCCAGTGATGGGCCGAGACAGTACAGGAAACAAAAAAGGAGTGAACAAGAGACAATAAGAGCTAAAGGGAAGCTTTTTAAGAATGAGAAGGTGATTGGTACTATAAAGTTGTTCAACATTAGAAGAGGACAGAATTAAAATTAAAGAATACCATGTAGTGATTGACATCAAGTGGGGGTTTTGTAAGGAGAGACTTTATTGACCAGCAAGAGACGCCATTTGGCTAAAGACTCAAGAATGAAGTACTGTTAAGGGTATAGAAGCACTTAACCTAAACCAGTTCTTCAAACTCTTTGATATTTACAAATAATTTAAAAATAAAATAATTTATTGCACTTAATAGGGCTGCTAGGTAGAAAGGTGAAATGAATTTTTTTTTTTTAAAGAAACACCTGAGTATGTTGGTAGGCACAGTATAGGACACCAGTAGAGAAAAGGAACCTGAGGCTTATAATAAAGATTATTTCACCCTTCACATAGTTCCCAGATAGCTAGGAAGGTGAGATAAAGGAGAAAGATTAGAGGATTGGTGGATCATATATCATTGGGCAATTGAGATTGTCCTTGAAGGTTTAGAAGCAATGGAACAGAGTTCCATTATCCAACTGTCTAAGCTGCATTTTTTTCTGGAAATTCTGTTAGTCTAGTTTTAAAGCCTTGACATGAATTCAGTTAGGGCAGTGTTTCCCAAAGTGTGGTACGCGTACCCCCAGGGGTACGGGAAGAGTTTGGTGGGGATATGCACTGCACCATGCTTAGCTGTGCCTAATTCTATGTTTTCATGAGTACGAGGGGTACTCAGCGTCACAATAATTATAGAAGGGGTACACATATGTCAAAAGTTTGGGAAACACTGAGTTAAGGAATTGTGGTCTACAGCGAACATACCTGAAAGTACCTACATATTTAATTCAGTGGTTAGGTGAATGGATGGATGGATGAGCTGATCAATGAAAAATGAATGAATGAATAAACTAAGAGTTATTGATCATAAATTATAAATCAATATTTATTAATCCCTTTCCTAAAACAGTGGTTAACAGCTCGAACTTGGGACCGTCTGTGTTAATGTTCCAGGGAAAGTCCTTTATCCTTGCTAAAGCTCAAGTCTCCTTATCTATAAAATAAAGTTAGTAATAGTACCTACTTGTACTAGTTTCTTTGGATGGCCATTACAAACTACCACAAACTAGGTAGCTTCAAATGGAAATTAATTCTTTCCAGAATTCAAACTCGAGGTGTCGGCATGCCACACTCCCTCCAGGGGCTCTAGGGAAAATTCTCCTTTGCTTCTTCCAGTTTCTGGTGCCTCCATGTCTTGTGGCAACATAACTCTAATCTCTCCTCCATCTTTACATGGTCTCTCTATGTGTCTGTGTGCCGTCTCATCTTCTTCTTTAACTGAGACATAATTGACATGTAACATTATCTCAGTTTCAGATGTACAACATAATTATTCAGTATTTGTATATCTTATCCTCTTCTTTTAAGGACATCTATTATTGGTTTTAGAGCTCATTCTATAATAATCCAATATAACCTCATTTTAACTAATTATTTCTGCAAAAATCTTATTTCCAAATAAGGTCACATACTGAGGTTCCAAATGGACATGAATTCGGGGGGGACACTACTCAATATACTATTTAATACTTCATATAAATATTATAAGAACTAAGTTAACATAAGGATATTAGTATTTACTTAATCTGCATTAAGTTATAAGTATTTGTAATATAATAGTATATAGCATATATTCAGAGGTTTGGAATATAGTTCTTACTAAAATTGACACTCAAGAAATGCTTATTCTTTCCAATCACTATTTTCTGTGCATAATATCAATGTTCTAGTACAGGTAGAAATGTTGAATTATTATATTAATTCATAATAATTCTTAACTCTTTCCTTGAAACTATTTCCTTAAAAAGCATTCATAGCTCATATTTCTTTTCTGTCTAGTAAAATGACTAAGTAGCTAATATATTAAATAATGACAGAAGACATTTTAATTTTCCAAATTCTTATTTCAGATTTTGATCATTCGGGGGGGGGGGGGGGGAGGAAATGCTGACTTAGCCTGCTTGTATTCATTTTCTGCCAACTGTCCTTAGGCGGTGACCTTCTCTGTATGACTTTCCACACAGCAGTGCTCACCCTCTCATGAGACCTAATTTCCTTTCATAATAATTTGTCTATAACTGACTTTAAAAAGGCATTGTTTTGATAGAATGCTCCAGATTAAAAACAGACTGTAACTTCAGGAGAGTAGTTATTTAATGAAAGGACAGCTTGAAGATGCAGCACATTGATGTGGAGTCTAATACAATTTTTTTTTAACATTAAGGAAATAAAAATATATAGACATTACAAGCAGAATTTGAGGGGGTGGGGGGGAAACATGTTTATTCTTCCATTTAAGCAACACAATTTGGGAAAGTGTAAAACAGTGAGATGAAGGCTAGTGAGTCTTTATTTGTTTCACATCTGTTTTGTTCACAGCCACACAGGCAGATGTTGGCCCAACTAGCACATCGTCAGTACTCAGATATTTGTGGAAGGATCATGTGACTGCATTGCTCACAGGTGGTTGGGAGAAAAGGAGAAAACTTCTGGTTATTTTTCTGTGGCATTATTAATTAACTTTGTTTTCCAAGTGGTTCATTTTCTCCAAATCGGATTTTATTACCCTCTTCTGACTTTTCTTTTCCACCTTCTTTCTCCCCCAGTAATTTGAAGTATAAAGTGCCCTATTGTTATGTATTGGTGTATTAAGCATGACTGTATGTAACAGAGGTTGAGAAGAGTGAAAGTGAAGAAAATAAAATTTCTCCTTTTTCTTCATTCTAATATTCTCAGGTGAAAAATTAGCTACTCCTGAGAATTATTTGATTCCAGGGTTGTAGGGTGAAATAGATATAGTGAGGGCATTGACCAAAGAATTTTTTTAAATACACTTTTTATTGATTTCAGAGAGGAAGGGAGAAGGAGAGATAGATAGAAACATCAATGATAAGAGATAACCATTGATCAGCTGCCTCCTGCACCACCCCCACTGGGAATTGAGCCTGCAACCCAGGCAAGTGCCCTGACTGGAAATCGAACTGTGATCTCCTGGTTCATAGATTGATGCTCAATCATTGAACAACACCAGCCGGGTTCACCCAGAGAATTCTTTATCTTTAGAGCAGATGTTCTTACAGGTGCCTCCATGAACAGCCTTACAGTAGCCAACCTGAGCCTCATGAAATAGTGTGCACATTGTGTGTACATATGCACACTTGATGTGTCTATGCAAATTTATTGGGTGTACATGCATGTGTGTGCCATTGTTGAAGAAAGGGGCTTTGTTGGTATCTTTTGTTATTCTCAAAAGAAGTTAACTCCAAATGGGTAGAGAACCACTACATGAAGAAGGCTTGGTTTAGCCGGCACCGGTTTGGTTCAATGGATAGAGCGTCAGCCTATGGACTGAAAGGTCCCGGGTTCGATTCCGGTCAAGGGCATGTACCTTGGTTGAGGGCACATCCCCAGTAGGGGCTGTGCAGGAGGCAGCTGGTCTCTCTCATTGACGTTTCTAACACTCTATCCCTCTCTCTTCCTCTCTGTGAAAAATAAATAAGATATATTAAAAAAAAAAAGAAGAAGAAGAAGAAGAAGGCTTGGTTTATATTGTTTATCTTTTGTTTTGCTTTAGAGTTTCAGGTGGGACAATTCTGAGAGTATTTGAGAAGAAAATGGACAGTGTATGAAATTGCCAAACCATTTCAGATTTTGGATCAATTTGAATTTGTCTAGTTGCCGTCTTCATGTACTCAAAAAGTGGGCTGCTTCACTCCCAGTTGTTTTCTCTGGCAGCTGAAGTATCCAGGCACACTGATTTCTTTTGTTTCCAGAACAGCATCAGAGCCCTTCAGGGCAAATTCACTGATAAGTCCTTGAGCAGACACACAAAGAAGATGGTATTTTGTGGTACAATGAGACACCCTTGCATAACTAGCTTATTGCTTATTGAACCTACAAACCAAACAGAAACACTAATCTTCTCAAAGAGCAAACCTCTTTAAAGGCCATTTTATTTTTCTTTACATTTCTGGAAGCTTAGGTTTGTCCTTTGTCTGGTTTGAATCTCTGGCTTAACCCTCTGCTCTGAGTACATGATGTGCGTACTTGACTCAAATCCTAGTTTTATTTTATCAACAATACTTATATGTGTTTCCTGATACCCAGCTTAGTGCCTTAGTTTACAATCTCTGTTATTCAGCTTTGTATCATAACAGATTGTCGATTTAAATAGCTGCTGCTGTTGTTAATAAAGCTTCCTCTATTGTTACAGGCAATATCTTATCTAATAAAATTGCTTCCACACAATTTACTTATTGATTCATTCATACACACACACACACACACACACACACACACACACACACACAAGTATAGGCACCTGTTATATGCTAGGGATGCTTCTAGTTGCAGGGGAAACAGAAAGATGAATATTATACATGAAATCACTGCCTTGTGCTTGGTAAAAGCATGTGGCAATCAAGGTTGTCCAAAGATTTAAGCCTATTGGAGCTGGTGGATGGTCTTGCCTTTAATATGTAAAAAGTAAAACTGTGAAATCCAATAAAACAAAGCATGCCTGTAATTCAATTTAAAAATCTTTTTTTCCCTTTTAGTTAGCACTATAAACTGAGTAGTTACAAACATGCATATTAGTTTCATTTTTTTTTTTTAGTTAAAATGTCTTTCTCTTTTGTTTCAGTCTGATGCCAATGCGAGTTACTTAAGAGCGGCTCGAGCGGGACACTTGGAAAAGGCTCTTGACTACATAAAAAACGGAGTTGACATCAACATCTGCAATCAGGTGAGTTGTGGTTATTGTTTATTTTTTATCTCGTTACATCTTTCATTAGATATTATCAATACTTTCTCTTTTTTTTTTTTTTTGCTGGTTTTTTCCCCTCTGTTAAATTTCACCAGCTTGAATTATCAAATCATTCTCGGCTTTGGTAGAGGAGTGCTCAGAAATTAGGTATGCATCCTTTAACAATTCCTAAAATGTATTAAGTAGTGCTATTAGAACAGCCCACCTAATTTTCAAGTGCTTTTATTCCCAGTGCAGGTTAGTACACTGTACACACACAAGTGATTATTGGGGGGGTGTTTTCCTCAGAGTTCCTAGTAGACTGTTGACTCCCCTATTTTCCATCTGCTGAGTAAAGCTTTTCCCTTCCTTTTCATCAGAATGGGTTGAATGCGCTCCATCTTGCCTCCAAAGAAGGCCACGTAGAAGTTGTTTCTGAACTGCTACACAGAGAAGCCAATGTGGATGCAGCTACCAAGGTTAGTATCACACACTTCATGCTTTTTATGTCACGTGCCAAATCCAATGGGGAGTTAACTCTCCTTAAGAATCAGAGCACGTTTCTCATGAAATACTTGTGAACTCTGTTCTTTTTGATCTTTTATGAACTGTCAAAACAAAGAAAGGGAGATTTGATATTTTATGAACTGTCAAAACAAAGAAAGACGGAAGTGTTGATGTATCTTGCTTTCAACTTACAGAAAGGAAACACTGCATTGCATATAGCATCTTTGGCTGGGCAAGCAGAGGTGGTAAAGGTCTTGGTTACAAATGGAGCCAACGTCAATGCACAGTCTCAGGTAAGCCAACAAACTCTTCTGCAAAGTGGCTTTGTTATAAATGACAAATAATGTTCTTTGGTTCAGGTGCTTGATTGGTTCATAAGAATACAATACTGATGAGCTACATTCAATGATTAGTTACATATTGTAGAATTTTGAAATTCATACATATTCCTATGTACAATGCATATGTGTGAGAGGTAGAAATTTTTAAAACTCATCCATCTATGTATGACTAGTAGTTATAGACAATAATGTTTAAGGGATATCTTTAATGCACTGTCTTATTCTACTTCATGATCCTGTCTCAGTATTTATTAATCTACAGAGGAAATGGTGATGCCTGTAAATGAGGGCATGTTCTTAAGACATTCAAAATATATCAGTGCTTTATCTCATTGAAAAAGGGAAGACACTACTTAGTTCTTGTCTCCTAAAGTAAGACATCATTGTTAGTCCCTAAAACAGATTGTAAAGAAGAAAAAACAAGCAGAATAAACTAAAAGCCCCCAAACTTTAAAATTACAAATTCTTTGTAATGGTTAGACACTAATAGTTCATTGAATAGGGCCTCTTATAAGTTCTCAGAATCTTGCATGAAATTCTAAGAACACCCATAGATTATCACTTGATAGACTTTGAGCCTAAAAGAAGTTTACTGGTTAAAAATATGGGTCCTCATTTTCCAAATTGTTCACTAGTTGTGTCTCCAAGACATGAGCAATCATCATAGTTCACAAATATTCACCAAGGACCTGACCATTTTTTAAGCTGGTCCCTACCTCAGACATTTCCTTCTAGTTGAATGCTGACATTGATCCTGGCTTGTAAATCTATGCCAGGGTGTACGATATTGAACAGATTGGTTATAGAACAACACCGCAAGTTTTGCAGAAGGAGAGACTGGAGTTTGAGGCCCGAGAGAGAGAGATGTCAAAGAATCGCTGGGTGTACAGCTAAGCTGTGAGTATGTGCCTTCCTGGCACTATTAGACCAGACAGTGTGTGAAGGATTAGGCTGATTTTCTGATAGGTGTTTCAAATGAGAATTTTATGAAAATTACACAAAATAATTAGGTGAGGCCTTCGGTTCTCAAATACTTTTTGCAAACAGACTGTCTTCTTACTAATGCTGTGGGGTGCAGGAGGGAAGCAGAGTGAAAGATGTCAAGCCATCAGATAATTTTGTTGGCAATACCACACTTTTTGTTTACAAAAATAATATTTGGCTTAGACTTTGTTCATTCTGTGATCTCATACACGAATGCAGTTATCACCTACATTTTGTTAAATCACACAAACTTGCTTTTGCAATTTCTAGTTTTATCTTTTAAGATAAAGTCTCAAACTTTTTCATGTCCTTTTGATTTCCATTTTGAGTGCACCCGATTTTTCCCCTTTTTTTCAGTTCTGAGTATCTTCGGGTATCAGGAGCCTTCTCCTGTATTTTATGAGAATGGCAGTGGCCTCCCCCCTTGATACTATGGCCATAGAGGTGATCGCTCTGATTCCGTTAACGATCAGTGTGGCGGAAAAGAAACTTCATGGTGCTTTCAACCACATGATGTGGCCTAACTCCATTCTGGTTGCCTCCAGTCAAACTCGTCTCACCTAGTTCATACTACTTTGATTCCCTATGAGAGTTCACTTGGAGTGATAATGCTTTTCCAGAAAGGAAAGTTATGATGGTTGAATATTGGTAAGCATTGTCATCTGAGAGAGATACAAACCATCTGACTTTTAAAACTTTTTTAAAATGCCCTTATAACTTTTTACTGGGAACTTACTGATGGGAAGCTCTGAGATAGTGGAAAAACTCTAATCCATTCCATTTCATTTTTCCCCCTCCAAGGAAAGAAAAATAAGCCTCCTCCTTTTAAACATTGCACACATTCTTGACATTCTAGAGCAGCAGCTATAGTTTTAAACCTTCCTCTGTAACATCTGGGCGAAGCTGCAGGCGAAGTCAAGCCCTAACCAGATTTATTTCAATTTGTACACATTCTCTGGTGATGATGAAGCAAAGGAGAACCCAGGCTGTGAAATTCCTCGTTCCTTGCAGCTGTGCTTGGCATACATACCTGCTCCACAGTTCACAGGAGAGTATGTCTCCCTTCACTTGGACACCTGTCCCCATATGCCTTCTGAACTGCATTGTTTTGTGGACAGATATGTAATGAGATGACCATGCAGCAGAATGGAGTTTCCATGTAAATTCCTGGTAGCAACTTTTCAATAGGAACTCTTTAAAGAGCAAGAAGTAATGCGAAGAAACTCCATGTATGTGGCAACACATTAAAACATCACAGGAATATTAATATTCAAGAAAGACCATATTCCTGTCTAAGTGAAATTTTATCCTCTGGGCAATATTTAATAGCTAGTAGGAAATAATGCAAGGAGAGTCTCTGGCCTTCCTGAAATATAAGAATTTTTCTTACCTTGAAAATAGAAACATTGGACAACATCAAGTTGTGATTTTATAAACTGAAGCTCTGTGGAGTAAGAATTTGTAGATACTATTTTACACTAATTCTTGTCATTGCCTTGACCTTAGGTCTTAAGTTAGTTAACTCTTTCTCCTATAACTTAACACCCTGAGTAAGCAATCAGGCTGAATTGTGATTATAAAGCACTCTCCTATGATTACGTCCTTAATACTGGGTAAAAAATTCAGCAACCATGTGAAACTGCCATGTCAAATGGTATCCCTCACGCTTCTTTCCTTCTGTCTTTATTTTATACTATAAGATATCCAAAGAAAGCAAAAAATCTTATAAAGAAGCAAATAATATTTTAACTACCAAAGCATTCTAAATGGACAGGTTTTCGTAAGTGGTGCCAACAAAAAAAAAGGCTCTTTCAATGAGCCAATCCCTCCTTGGACTTTAAGTATTTTTTAATATTTCCTATGATGGGGGAAATCAGGTCCTGATGAAGTGACACAATGGGTGTGGTCCAGATAAATCTGTGACCTTGGACCTTATAGCTCACCTCTATATGTAAATCAGTACATTGATCACCATGCCCTTAACACTTTAATTAAGAACTTAATGATGTATAAGGCTGGCCCTAGGAAACTGGGATGCATAAGAAAATCTCATGGATGAAGTTTCAGCCCTTACTTAAATAACAGGAGGACTTTATTTTATTTGTGAGTACTAGGCAGCATGCCTCAGTACTACCCATAAAATTGTGTCTTCAGATTTCCATGTTTATTATAATATCAGAATAAACATTCAGAGCAGAAGGTATTGAAGATTTTGGATAAAATCAGACATTAAAGGACATACTTGTTCTGTGATGAGCTGCTCTGCCTTTTGAGAATTGCCTCAATTATTGCTACAGAAGAGAAAAATGTAAAATTGGGCACCCATATGTTCCTTTTGAGCTGGCTCTTTCTTTTGGAAATTTCCTAAGTTAGGAAATTAATATAAAAACAGTGCTGTGCTTTTTTTCTTAAGAGAAAATTGCTTTTTTTTTTTTTTTTTAAATCTGACCATTCTCCCAATCTAGGTGCTGTTTCACAGAAAATCATTTCATATGTAGGTTGTCAATAATGACTCATTGAAAACCTTGCCTTATGCCTCTTTGTGCTAGAGAGAAATGGTGATGTTTATTCATAGCTCCATTTTTCTCTGATTCTTGTCTACATCTTATTTCTGAGGAATTCCAGTTCTATACATTGCACTCTCCTACGCTGTAAAAAGGGCTGTGGGATGATTCAAAAGTTGAGCTTCTTAAGAATCACTCCTTGAGCTCCAGGTCTATAAGAATAACAGCCCCTAAATCTCAGTGCCTGATTTTAGATTTTCTTCATGGGTCATAAAATTTTTAATTCTGAAAGCTAACCTCAGAACAGTAGGCATACATTAGCCTAGAAGCCAGATCAGTGTTTCTTAGGTAATCTTGAACTACAGCAGACTTCTGGCCTAACATTGAAAATCCATTGACATAGAATATGTAGTTGATATTTATGTCTGAGAGAATAATATCTATTTTGATTTTTTTTTTCCTTAAAAACTTTATTCCTAGCCCTGGCTGGTGTGGATCAGTTGGTTGGGCATCATCCCATTCACCAAAATGTTGCCGGTTCAATTTCCGGTAAAGTCATGTGCTTGGTTTGAGGACTTGATTCCTGATAGGGGGCTTGTAGGAGGCAGCTGATTGATGTTCACTCTCACATTCATGTTTTTCTCTTACCCTCTTCTTCTCCCTGCCCCTCTCTCTGAAAATCAATAAAAATTTTTAAAAACAACAACAAAAAACTCCTAAAATTGGTACCTTCCATCTGGAAATTTCAGTTGATGAGGAAAAATAAATATGCAGTAGTTCACTTGAGCTATAAGAAGAATCCACATGGTTTTCTGCTAGTGTTTATTTTTTTCCCCTTTCTTAATATTATATTGTTAGTTTTTTTTCTTTTTCCTTGTGGTTTTGATTTTTTAAGAGATATTTAAATCAACCATGGATTAGATGATCTTTTATTTTGGTCAATTAAGAAAATGAAAAAATAAACAATATGATAATGGTAATCTTAATTACATTTTAGTTTTTCTAAATAGTTCTGGGAAGTGTGGTAAAGATGAAACACATAGGCACATATGCAGACATAGACACACAATGTGTAATAGTTACTCCATATTTCATGCTTAAGGTTAATAAAACCTTTCATAACAGAACAAAGTAGCATGAATCTTCAGTGGTGTTACTAGGTGGGTAATTTAAAGGGAAGAAGCTTGAATGCTCTGTCATATTCTATTGCTTCTAATTTTATGTCTCTAATCTTGAGCTTGACAACCAAATAACCCAGGTTGTTACAATTATGTGTAACAGCTTTTTAACTTCCTAGTTCTCAGCTTTAAGCCAAAAAAAAAAAAAAAAAAAGACCACCAGAGGTTAAATTATTGATAAGTAAGGTAATTATATAGCAATTGATATTTATGATGAGCCTAACCTTTCGAATCACAAAAATTTGATAATATTTTACTTAGAATTTATTTTTATTCTTTGAAAGTGCATAATGTATAAAATAAAATTTTCAGAGCATTCAGTTAAATAGGATTGCATTCTGAAAAAATTTTTCCAAAGAGAATTTATTATAGTTGGAAATATACACATTTTCCAAACTATAATAAAAATCTTGGAATAAGATTTTTAAATATTTCAGCATTCCATAGATGTGAAATGCATTAGAACAAACACATGCAAAATATTTTTAATATGAAGCTTTATATGTGTGGCAAACATTTATTTTCTTGATCTAAGTTCTTTGGCTGTTGGGCACATTTCAGACAAACGTACACACACATACAGTGTGTGTGTGTGTGTGTGTGTGTGTGTGTGTGTGTATGCATGTATATGTATAAATATATATGTATAAATATATATGTATATGTGTATATATATTCTGAACATTAAACTACTGTCTTTGTGAAAAATGAAAGGTTATAAACTTACAAAAATAGACTGCTTATCAAATTCCACTTTAAAATCCAATTTTATCCTTCTGCAAATTGGTATTCTCTCCTTTGCTCTAAGACTCCTCATCCATGGTAAGTGTGAAGCCATTTGAAATTAATATAAATTCTTTTCAAAGTAGAGACTATTTCAGAAGTTTACTTTTATGTAAAAGTATTATGTATTTTATTTAAAATAGATAATTCTCAGGAGGTACAATGGTCAAGTGTATTTTTCATATCCTTTTGATATCTAGTAAGATTCTTTATTTGTGGTAAGCGCTCAATTAAGTGGTTAAATGAATGTACTTTCTAAATTCATATTAATTCATATTAATTCAAATTAATTCATATTAATATGAATTAAACTATTAATTACAAACTACTTTCAAACTATGAATTATGAAGTATAATTATGAGTTATATTTATATTATAAATTCATTTACATTATTGTGCTTAAGAATTTTAATATATATGTGAATGTCTTCCTTAAAGTGTTATTAAAATTATTATGTGTAAACAGTTTCTAAAACCTAAAATATTATTAGTTCAATAGAAAAATGGATTGGCTCTAGAAAGCTGCAAACATTTTGCTTTTTATTTTGCAGAATGGTTTCACCCCATTGTACATGGCAGCCCAGGAAAACCACCTGGAAGTCGTCAAGTTTCTTCTTGACAATGGTGCCAGCCAGAGCCTCGCCACAGAGGTGAGCCCCGTGGGTTCTTTCTGTGCGGAAGTTTGCATGTTGATAGGACATTTTGTAACCCTGGAGTTGTAACATTTAACATTTATCTCACTGGTATTTTTATTGCAATTGTACAGTAGTGTGTGGGTTCAAACATTGTTATGAAATACATTAGAAGGTCTGTTTTTAATTTTTAAGAATTTTCTATTGTATAGATATCCTTTCTGCTCTTAAATGCTTACCCCTACCCTATAATTGAGTTATTGCTTCAATATCTACCTGTTGCTTGTGAACACTTTTCTGTTATCATTTTGCTTCAAAGACAACCATTGATTTGAAACATTTTTGTGATAGAACTTAAGTTCCAAATCAGTTTTTTTTCCCCAAGTTTAATTTAGCATAATATTTGAGTGTATAGATTTCTAAAGTCACCTAGTTTTAATCTGAAATGTTATTGTTTTCACTGGGATTATATTACAGGTATTGAAATTATAGTTATTTAAAATTCTTTTTAAATTTTCAAAATTTAGTCAATTAATGCACATCACTTTTTAACAGAAAGAAAACCCTCAAAACTTATTGAAAAAATTGTTTTTGCTTTGATATATGTATATTTGAGAATGTCTTTTCCCATATACAGGAGTGTGCAAAAGTAGGTTTCTAGTTATAATACAAACAAATAATTTATAAGTAACAATACAAGAAAAGATTCTGTGTTTCACATACAACTATAAGCCTACTTTTGCCACCCCCTATATGTTTACTTGCATATGTTAGCTCTCTTAACCCTAACCAAAAATTGACCCTGGGTCACTTGATCGCCTTCTTGTCAATTGAAAAGAAACTACACATTGAAACCAACCTTGACCCGTCCATTTATCTACAGGATGGCTTCACGCCGTTGGCAGTGGCTTTGCAACAAGGTCACGATCAAGTAGTGTCCCTCCTGCTAGAAAACGACACGAAGGGCAAAGTGCGGCTCCCGGCTCTTCACATCGCCGCCCGAAAGGATGACACGAAAGCGGCCGCCCTGCTGCTGCAGAATGACCACAATGCGGACGTGGAGTCCAAGGTGAGGCGCCGGGGAAGCCCCTCTCCTGCAGCCATCCTGCGTAGGCACCCCAACTTTCAGATGCTTGGCCTCCCTTTTGGCAAGCGACTGCCAAGCTTGCAGCTCCTCTGGAAGAGATAAAAACGCGGGTCCACATCAGCCAGCCAATGAGAGCACCTTCCCCTTATCCCTGAAAGCTAGGAAATCCCCTGGATGCTGCCCCATGCATGCCAACAGGGAGGCCCCCTCAAAATCCATGCATACGAGCCTGATCGTTTCCTCCCTCGTAATAGATTCGTAATGTATGTAACGCTTCAGCTAAACATCAGAGTGAAAAGTTACAAAACGCTAGTGACAGTGTGTGCAAATTGTCCTTTGGCCGATAGCTAAGATGGCAGGAGACACACTGAGTGTTGGCCACCTGCGGAGAGCGTGCCAGCGGCCAGAGTCCTGGCCAGGAATTCCCATTGTTCCGACGTGTTACCCTGAAGCCTCTTGGAAGGAAACATGGCATTTGGAGGAGGCCCCTGTGTAGCCTCCCCTCCGTCTGGCTTTCTTTCTGTGCCTGTGGTGCTTCCGTCAGAGCTTTCATCCTCATCCCTTAGCTGCCGTGAGCTTTCTGCACTCCACGTCCCCGACAGCGAACTAACCGTTCATTTTTTCCTCCTCTTTGCTTCCCAATGTGTTACCCTAGATGGTGGTGAATAGGACAACAGAGGTACATATCTCTCTCCATGTACATAGAATCTGTATCTGCATCATCATTTTCCTATCCCTTAGTGCTGCGGCTTCCTTTCTCTCCCTTCTTCTTTGCATCGCCTTCTGTAGGCTTAGATCCCTGCTTTCTACCCCCGCCCCCAAAGTAGCATGTGCTAGAGAAGATAGAGTTTGGTTACCAGGGCTTTCTGCAGCTGAACGTAGTGTGTGAAAGGAAGAATGAGGAATCCTTGCATCTTAAGGGGATTGCAGTAGAGGTGTGTGAGACGAAGCGTTTCCAACACTTGAGTTGCTCACCAGCTCTACCCGAAGCTGCAGACAACCCTGCCATTTTCCCCTGTAGGACTGATTCTGTAGAGTTCTGCATGACACTTAACCTCAGTGGTGTCAGCAAAATGAAAGTGACCTCAGAATGGTACCACTTTGACCCACCCTTCCACGAGAGTCATTGAGCTAGCTAGCATGGCTGCGAAGCTTGCTAACAATTTAGAAACGCATCTAGTTCCTACAAGGTTTCAATCTTTGGGGACTAAGTGAATCGCTGCATGTTTTAGCATTTTTTTTAAGGAAGTAAAATGACCCTGGTAAGAATAATCCAGAAAGTTGTGTTCTCGAATAGGCAATTGCTAAGAAAGAGACCAACTGGTGGTTCTTTCTAGAATGCAATCACCCACCATACAAGACCAATTAAAGTGCACCTCTTCCCCAAAATTGCTTTTATCTTTATAATCTGATCTTGTATTGAATACATAAAACAAATCAAATTTTGGCAAAGAGTCACAATGGACAGTTCTTCCATCAATAATAAAACAGTTGGTACTAACTGAACTTTCTATGAGCTATAAAGATTTTTCTTGTCATCCCTATTGTAACTTTTGAAACGGCTTCTCTACATACTGCTACCAGATTCCCAAAACTGCTCAATCTCCGCCCTTGGATCCTTCCCGGCTCTTTCTCTGCCTACGAGTTTGGCGTTGATTTGAGGCCCTGTGAGCAATTGGCAGTAACCGAAAGAGACCTAGTCCAGAATGGAATGCGGACCTCAGCATATTTTGCTTCCTCATTTTTATTTGGGCGGGGCTTTGATCCTGGCATGTCAGGCGGGGGCAGCAGGACTCCACTGAACATCTGCCGTCTTCTCCTTGCAGAGTGGCTTCACTCCGCTCCACATAGCGGCTCACTACGGGAACATCAATGTGGCCACGTTGCTGTTAAACCGAGCGGCTGCCGTGGACTTCACTGCAAGGGTAAGAGCGCTGCCCGGGGCAAACCTTTATAGCATTTGATGTGATTCTTAACCTCCCTTTCCCAGCATGAGAGGAGGTGGAGTTAGGTGGCCTTGTTTTGAAACTGGTGTGACATTTCCTAGCAGAAAAAGTAAACCAAGACGGGGCGGAGGGGTGGTAAATATATATATGTGACTGTATGGGAGATGGGGTTCAAATAACCCCAACTGGAAACCACCTTCATTTCCCCAAGTTGAAACGTCTGAGACCATTAGAAATTGGTCAAGTGCAGCCACTGGGGCTTTACTGTTGGGTATCAGGATCTTGACCCTCTGGATAGGAATGTGCTGGCACAGCGGTCGGCAAACTCGTTAGTCAACAGAGTCAAATATCAACAGGACAACGATTGAAATTTCTTTTGAGAGCCAAAAACTGACTTTTGCGCATGGGCCACGAAATTTCAATTGCACTGTACGTGCGCACCTGCATGTGGTCTTTTGTGGAAGAGCCACACTCAAGGGGCCAAAGAGCCGCATGTGGCTCTCAAGCTGCAGTTTGCCGACTGCTGTGCTGGGATATCTGGATGAGGCCCTAACTTGAGAACCCAAATGATAGAGGCCTTCCTTTGCTTTTATCTCTGTTCCCTGCAAGCTAGCATAATGAGTGACAAGTTTCTGTTACTGGAGCTCATATTCTTGGAGAAAGGAACTGGCGTCCTGTGTCTCATGGGCAGCAGTATGGACGTTTGACCAGAGTAACACCGCTCAGAATGTAAAAATCGGCTCAGTGCTAGGCTTGCTCCTCAGGATCATCATCATCAGAAGTAGAAATGAAGCAGGGAACAGATTGGAGCAGTGACTCAAAGCGTGGCCTCAGGATTCCGTCTCCCGGGGTTCAAATTTGGTCTTTAATTTTCCCCTCTTTGTCCACCAGTTTCCTCCTTTGTAAGATAAAAGAATATGAATTATGATGTTATATGATGATAAAATATTAGTATCACCCCTCCATTGGGTCACTGTGAGAATTAAGAACAGAGAGTGTGTGTAAAGCACTCGGCCGTGTCTGACATATCACCATTGGCAGCAGCAGCAGCACTGATTTTGAACGTAACATTTGAAGTATTCGTTTTGCTGAAACCTCACTTGTTAGAGGCGAAATGAGCTAGATCACATAGGGAGATATAGGGCATGATACTAGTTAGTACTGGCAGTATCAGCAGCAGGAAAAATAATACTGTCTTGGAAGGAGTTACTGGGTGCAGATGCCCGGCTAAGCATTTTTGCCTCATTTATCCTCCTATCCAGAAAAGGGGTACTTATTCCTGATTTACAGAAGAGGAAACCGAGGCTTAAGAGATGAGAAGTAGCTGGTCCAAGATGACAAATCACAAATGAGAAAAGGCAGGATTTCGGCCCCAAACACTCAATCACTCCCGTGTTTTCGTCTCCCATATGTGACCTTTGAGCTTCTTTTTTTCTTTTTCTTCTTATAATGTATTAGTCCAATAAAATTAAGAAGAGCTCAGGTTGTACTATGAAATTTATTTCCTACCTTATCAGCTTCAGCTTGCTAAGAGCCTTCCTGGTTTCAGTGACTTGGGGGTGCCCATCCGAGTCCACTCATACCGCTCAGTTCTTACTGCTTCTCACAGGCTTCAGCTACAAGGCAGACCTGAGGCCTAGTTTGACGTTTCAAAGGACAAAGTCAGGCACCTCTTTAAGTCAAGTAATAAGCAGGCATGTCAGTATTTAAACTGAGGTTCTTGTCTGAAAGATGCATTGCTCTGGTTTCATTTCTGTAATTCACAGTTCGATGAGAATCTCAGTAAGTCACATCTTCTAATTAGGACATTTGGAAGATCCATGTCAGGGCAGTGTTTGAAGTTTATCTGGGTGCCACTAGTTTGGAGATGTCCTCATACTGCGGAAAATAAGAAGAATGGAACAATGTTTAAGCAACATCAGGGGGCAAATTACAGTATTTTCAGCATCAATGCAATTCCAAAGCATCCATTTACATTAAAACAATGATGTAGTAATTACAAATGATGCCAGTGTATTGAGTAAACATCAGTGGAGACATCAGACAAATGTTGTTAAAGTTACCCATCTAAGTTACCATCTAAAATTTAAAATAATCGCATTGGGTTTTTCTTTAACACAGGTTAAAATTCAGACTTGTTACTGGTTTGAAAAGCATTTGGCCCAGTCATGCCTAATCAATGAGGCCTAATAGCATTCTGAGCTAAAGAATGGGGTAGAATTTGATTATCCCTTATGGGCTGCCTGCTCTGTGCTTCCCTCTGCTCTTGGTGATAGATGACTTGCTTTGGAGTGTCAGGAAGAACTGGTCTTTGTAAAGAGCTTGAGAAACCCATTTTGGTTCCAAAATCTCTAGTGATTCCATTTCATAATAATCCAGCATCTTTACTTTTGTATAGCGGAGGCCTCTCCTTCCCCAACTTTGGCGGTGTCTTCCCAGGTCACCACCCTCAGGGATGGAACAGAAATGGCAGGTGAAAGGGTAAGGTGCCCTGAACACAGCTGAGATCAGATTTTACCTGGCCAGGCAATGAAGGATCTTGAAGCTACATTTGCTAAGAACTGGCTGCAAGTCAGAGGCTTCAGCAACCGGGTTTAGATAGAGATACTGATGAAATGGTATCTTTGTCTGAGGGGCTATGGTTTCTGTTTCCTGGCTGTGGCAGATGATTGGAGAAGGGAAGGTGCTGTCCTATAGTTCTTTGTGGGTGGACGGCATAGCCTAGGGAATGGCTGTTCGCTAGCAAAGAGAGCTGAGGGACAGGAGCAAGGCCACCAGTTCTGAAATAATTTCCTGCATGCAATGGGTATGCATTTCCAAAGCAGACACGAGGCAGAAATAAACACAGTGTGACTAAAGGGAGCATACAATAAAGCGGATTGCTTTCCATGCATTTTTGCAGGGCTAGCTAACTTATGCAGCAATAAAGCAGATCCTAGCTATGAAGAAAGTACACCCCTGCATAGCAGTTATGGTAACCAATTTATGCCAAATTGACCTGCTTATCAGCACCTTTCCTTAGATTTTTATTATAATGTCAGTTTTGATTTTTCTGTTATAATTTTGCCAGGTGCATGTAAGGTATCCTGTCTGATATTTTATATATTTCCTTCCGGATAGTCCATGAAGACCTGCTCAGCCTCGCGGGTCCGCTGCAGGGAGTTAATGGAGAAGCTGCTGAATGCTGCAGTGCGGCGTCAGCATTCTTCATTCTTTGAATTGAGTCTGCTGAGGTGGCGTTGACACTTTCTGAATTTATGGGTGACCCTTGTTCACCACAAATCATTCTAGCTCTCTTGGGGAAGAGAGGGTAACCAAGGCACACCAGAGCTGCTACTGATTATCATTCCAGGAAGGAGCATTTGTGCACTGGAGTAACTAAAGGCAAATTATATTATGTGGATGCTTGCGAAGTCTCTTTTATTGATTGAGGAAGACAGATGGATATCTTGCTGGCTAAGAGTTTTTTTCATCAAATATAATGGACCACCTAACTTAATCTTCACACTTGTCATTGACCTTTCTCTTGTGAAGTATTATTCAGCCTCCCATTTGGGGAAGATAATTGAATTTAAAAATTCTTCTATTGGCCTTGTTTATTTAGTACTTTTTGGTTTGAATGCTATACCTCATTTGTTTCCAAAAGGACTTCATGTAGTGCACAGTTAAAATATACAAAGTAAGACATGTAAGGATGAAAGCAAAAAAGTACATGTTACCAGCCGCTGGAATAAACCAGTGAATACAACTAGAGAATAAGTTTATATCTTAGGGACATTTATATATGTGATGGACAGAGAATCATATTTTTTTTTTGGAGGGAGAGGAGGAAAATATGGTTGTCTATAAAGACAATTTTGTGTGTGTGAAATCACTAAAATATTTTTATCATGTGAATTCCACAGTTGACAGTATCTTTAATTATTGCACTTCAAAAGGATCAGTGCATACTGCCCTGACCCATTGATGTTAGATATCCACTGAGGGCGGCTGAGAGATTGAGCTAGATACTAATCTTTATGATGTTTTAATTATGTCAGATAGAACTTGGCAGTGACGACATGACATATCCATTGGACTTTCTTTTTCAAATACCAGATGTTTTGAACGAAGTTTTGGCAGGTAGTGGGACACATTCAGAATTCAATTAAATTACACAAAAGTTTATTTATTAAATAGTAACTTAATGTTATATTAAAATGAGAGCAGTGTTTTTAGATAGTTTTAACTACTAAGCCTGTTGGTGGAAAAATAAGTGTCAGACGTACATTCTGCCCAAAGAAGAGGCCAATATGGTTCAGCATGTGCATGAGCAAAGCAGCATCCAGGGGTAGACAATATTTGGACATTTCCTTTTGTTTTCATTTAAATTATTTATTGTTTAAAGTATTACACATGTCTCCTTCTTCCCCCATTGGCCTCTCCCAGTCACTCCCACTCACCAGCACATGTTCTCTCTCTCTCTCTCTCTCACACACACACACACACACACACACACACACACACACACACTGTCAGAGATTTCCATTTTAAGATTAAATTAAAACTAGCACATAAGCTTCTATTATGAGCTAGACCTGTAGGTCCAGACTAGAGTGACTGCTGTCCTTACTGTATTAATTTCTTTAGTCTCTAAAGTCAACAGCCTCTCCCTCAATTCCCCAAAACAGCTGTCGCCAACCAGTGGTCCATGAGGTCAGAAAGGTTGGCGACGCTGGCCCAAAGCAAATCTAAATCTAGTCTCTAAGGCCAAAAAATGACTTTTTAAAAAACTTAGGGATTGACGGAAAGGCAAAGCTGGCAGATTGATTCAGGACAACACTGTCCCCGGAGTCCACAGGCTGTTGACCCCTCCCTCTGGGTACATCCTCTGGAGCCCCCAAAGGGCACCATGTTGCAAAATCAGTCTCACTGCCCCACAGTGGGAAACCCCTTTTACTGTCTCTCTCAGCCGAAGTCCAAGCCCCTTACTCATCTCT